GTGAGTGACGGGCGAAGGCCTCAGATCCCACGCGGTGCCGGAGGAGGCAGGCTGTACCTGCTACCCCTAACGCCGCTGCTGCTCCCACCTCCAGTATGAAGCGACCGAGTGAGTGTTGTCCAGGGGCGGACGTGGAGGGGCCACTGTTTTTGATGGTCGATGACCCATCAGGGTGCTCTTTGAAGCTTGGTCTCCGCAGGAATTGGGGCCTGCGGGTATGACATCAGCCATTGTGCTGGTCCCGCGTGGAACCGAGATTTGGAAGGCTCGTGTTAACCTCGGGCCTATGGTACCGAAGGAGATCTGGGCCATAAAAGTCCACATCAGGCTGGAGTCCCGTGAGGAAACAGCCCGAGCCAGGTTTATGGCCGCTTTTTTCTTTTTCTTTTTTTTAAATATGTCTTACTGATTTTTTTACAGAGAGGAAGGGAGAGAGGTACAGAGCTAGAAACATCGATGAGAGAGAAACATCGATCAGCTGCCTCCCGCACCCTCCCCACTGGGGATGTCCCCGCAGCCAAGGCACGTGCCCTTGACCGGAATCGAACCCGGGCCCTTTGAGTCCGCAGGCCGAGGCTCTATCCACTGAGCCAAACCGCTCAGGGCTGGCCGCTTTTTTCTTTATGCGGCTGTGTTCAGTCCAGCCCAGTGAGGTCTGAGAGTCGTCTCTTTTGCTCCTACGTTGCCACTTTTGCACCTACTTTGTGGTTCTTGGTTGACAAGAAGTGGCTGTCGTATGGGTCTTCTACACTCCTGAGTGCAATCCCAATGTGATACTGGAAGTGTGGGAGGGGGGGAGTTGGGCTCTACTCTCGATCTATTAGTCAAATTCTCTGGGATTTGAGTGGCAAGTGTGTTTTTATTGTGTGCCCCTCGTGATTTGAGAGCTTATTACTTTACACAAAAAGGGTCCTGACCCCAGAGTGCAGTCACCAAGAACTAAAACTGATCATTAGTGTGTAATCTCTTTTGTGATGTGTTTCTTTGTAGAGTTAAAGAAAGCAAGTAAACGCATGACCTGCCATAAGCGGTATAAAATCCAAAAAAAGGTAAGACTTGTGCTTGGGAGGGCTACGCCAAATCCAATGCTAAACTGATTTCTGCCCCATCTCTCCTCCAGGAGAAGGTTTGGATTACTATGTGTATGACTCATCTCAGGAGATGGAGGTTGGAAATACTGACCATGGCACAAGCTTTTTTTTTTATTTTTTTAAGTTGATTGATTTTAGAAAGAGGAAGGGAGAAACATCAATTTGGTATTCAGCCTATTTATGCATTCGTTGGTTGATTCTTGTATGTGTCCTGACCAGGGATCCAATCAGCAACCTTGGCATATCCAGACAACACCCTAACCAACTGAGATACTGGGCAGCACAACCTCTTAGGCATCAAGAGTGCAGCTGTGGGAAAGTGCAGTAATTCAATGATAAAATCTGTAAACTGTGATCAACATGTTAACAACCTTCACACAAAAAATCTCCCAGTGACATTTTCTTAAATATATTGTGTAGGGCAGCAGTCGCCACCCTTTTGGACCACTGTTTGGCGACCATTGGTGTAGAGTATTTAAAATTTATTAGGGGGAGAGAGAGAGAGAAAATAAATAAATGTGAGCACCAATCAGCTCCCTCCTGCATGCCCCATACTGGACATGGACCCTGACCAGGAATCAAACTGGCGACCTTTTGGGAGGACGCTCATTCAACTGAGCCACATCAGCCAGGGCCCAATGACATTTTCTTGCTGTTTTATACAGAAATAGGCAACTCTCTGTATGATTCCAACTAAAGTTCTAGTTTTCTCAGTCATTTTACAGGTAAACTAAACTATAGCTAAATTTCTCACAAGAATTCTCTTTAGTATTTTTGTAAACTCATAAAATTTGTTTTTTATCATATTAGGTTCGAGAGCACCATCGAAAATTGAGGAAGGAGGCTAAGAAACGGGGTCACAAGAAACCTAGGAAAGATCCAGGAATTCCAAACAGTGCTCCCTTTAAGGAGGCTCTTCTTCGGGAAGCTGAGCTAAGGAAACAACAGGTAAGATACGTTAGCTGAAATTTTCAGCAAGTGAAGTGTATTTTTTTATTTTTGAAGTAAAGTAATACCACCACGTCACTTTGGCTTACCCACTTCTCTTATGGCTTGGGCACAGCTTGAAGAACTAAAACAGCAGCAGAAACTTGACAGGCAGAAGGAACAGGAAAAGAAAAGGAAATGTGAAGCTACCCTTGATGTTGAGCCATCTGTGAAGGAGGTACGATCAAGTCTCTGAATGAGAGATGAGTTCTGATGTAGAAGAAAAAGAACATAAACAGGAGTTGCTGTGCCTCTTGGGAAGAAAAGGATCGAGTTCTGAAAACTCGATCTATGACCTATTTAAATGTCACCTGCAGTACCCCTTATCAGCCATGGAAAACAGAGAAACCAGTTACAACTGCTGATTTTCTAATTTTGTATCTTTTTCCTTTGTCTTTATCCTTTAGGAATTTGGGCAACCCAAAGCTAAGAAAGCCAAGCTGGCTAAACAGAATCCAAAGAAGTTGTATTGTCAGGAACTTAAAAAGGTACCTTAGGTCTTTCTAAAAATGGTATTGAGGTTTAAAAGAGTAGAGTCATTCCTTTTTTTCTGACCAACCTTGTACTAGTAAAGATGAAGTAGAGTTCACTTAAGCTGGAAGAAGCCATTCACAAGAGCTGAAGCAAGTTGGTTTATCCTATTTAGGGCCTTCCTGTTATGTTTAGCTGATGAAAACATTCTTATGGTTTTAAATTTTTGCACAGGCACAGTTCTCCATAAGCATGATTTACAAAAATGATACTTTGTGTTAAAATAGCATATTGACACAGTGGTTTTTAAAACTGCAAAATACATTAAAATAAGTGCTTTGTAGGAAATCAAGTGAGTATCTTGGTATAGTTGCTCCCCAGCATGACCACCCATGCCTGTTTTCCCAAGCTCACTCTCCTCTGTAATAGAGCTTGACCAAGTTTCTCAGCAGCTCTTGGCAAGGCCCCGAAAACTTATCTAAAGACCTAATTCACTATGGGGAGATGCTATATTCAGACAGTGGCGGTGTTTCCATTTTTAAAATCTGTTGAGAGGTGAGAGGCTGAGCACACCTGTGTTACCTTTCTTGTGAGAAATGATGAACGTGACCATTCTTCATGCCAAAGTGAAGAAATGAGATCCAACTCTGAGCTCTCCCTGTTGCAAAGTGGACAGGGCCAGTATACTTGTGTGTAGGAGTTCCCTGATAGTTTCTACCTTGACAGGTGATTGAAGCCTCAGATGTTGTGCTGGAAGTGTTGGATGCCAGAGATCCTCTTGGTTGCAGGTGTCCTCAGGTGGAAAAGGCCATTGTCCAGGGTGGACAGAAAAGGCTGGTACTTGTGTTAAATAAATCAGGTGAGCTAAAGGAATGCCTTCATGTTTCATGTGCACTAGTGAGGTATGAGGAAAACATCTGAACAGTCTGACTTTCCCTGAAGACTGATAAGATCCAACTCTGACCTCAACAAAGCCAGTGCATTTGCTCTCTTGTTGCCAAAGACCGGTATTGGGCAGAGGGGTGGTGTTTTCTACAAGTGGTTTGACTGGCTTCTGCTGGTTTTGTTTTGTTGTTACTCAATACTTAGAGCTTTGTCTTAAGAGTACAAACTTTTATACTCAGCTTACTATGCAGTGTATTTCATATAGGAAGTGATGGCTCTCTGTCAGGTTCTCCACACCTGCACAGTGTTGATAGGTGACAATATTTAGATGAAATCCATAGTTAACTATGCCTGGGTTTGAGCAGCAGGAACAGGAAAATCTAGAAGAGAGACCTGTGAAGCAGAGAATAATAGTGGGATCTACGGTTACTTTTTGGTCAGTAAACATGACTGCTATTTGACCAGTAAACCAGGGAATAAAGCCCTAGGGTTAGGGTAATAATCTATAGGTTGGCTTAATCTTGAGAGGGTGTGCAGTACAGAGGAGAATTGAAAAAATACAGAAGTATACATACTGAACTGTGAAGGTAAGGGCAGTATGCTGGAGAGCTTACCCTTTCCCCATCTTCCATTTAAATCCTTCTGAAAGAAAAAAACTGGGAAAAGGCAAACCAGGGTGATATCCATAGTTTATCGGATTTGCAAATTGATCTCAGTGGAATGACCAAATTGGAACTTGTGTGTCTTATTTTTAATCACTATCAGATTTGGTACCAAAGGAGAATTTGGAGAACTGGGTAAATTATTTGAAAAAGGAATTGCCCACAGTTGTGTTCAGAGCCTCAACAAATCTGAAGGACAAAAAAAAGATACCCAAGGTACCCTTTACTGTCATTCGTGGGAAGTGTGCTGCTTTCAGATTTTGGATGGCTGAAATATGATGAGTATACAAAATCTTGATTTAAATAATGAGAATATATAAGATCCAACTCTGATTTCATCCAGAGATAATCTGAAAGGCAGTAGAATATGGTGATTTAATGGCTGGTCTTTGGAGCCAGGTTTTTGGTTTTTATATGGTAGGTTGTCAAAAGTAGTTAAACTAATTATTTGCAATTTTAACGTGAAGGTAAGGAGGAACATTCCATTCAAAAGTGAAATCTGTGTTGGGAAAGAATGCCTTTGGAAACTTCTTAGAGATTTTCAAGAGATTTATGGCAAAGCTATTCAGGTTGGAGTAATTGGTGAGTTTCAGTTCAATACATTTTGTCTTGATCTCTTACCTGCCAAGAATTTTTCTGTTAAGGGTATATGGGTCTTGCTAAATAAAGGACTTGTTTAAACACTAGCTTGTTGCCCACCTTACCACACACACAATGTAAACACAAATTTTTATGTAATTGCTGCATAGTTCATTTTTTTCCCAACTGGTCACTGTAGGAAGTTGGCTTTTTAAAGCTCTGGGTATATTTAAATGAATCATCTTTTCCTGCCCTCTCATTACTTGTGCAAGAAATGAGGATGCTAAAATTGGTCTTAGTGTTAAAGTGAAGACACTCAGATCCAACTCTGATCTTGCTCTAAACATAAAGCAGGCATAAAACAAAACAATGGGAATGTTATAATTGCCAACACAATGACTTTTAATCTGTAAATTTACCATTTGTAGGTTTCCCAAATGTGGGGAAAAGCAGCCTCATCAACTGCTTAAAACAAGAACAGATATGTAATGTCGGTGTATCCATGGGACTTACAAGGTAAACGGAGTTGTTCCATAATTGTAATATTTCATTATAGATGAGTAAATATAATTTTGTCTTGGGTATCTTAAAGGAAGACAATTTTCCATTCTTACAAAGGTGAAAGGTTAAGCCAGTGCTAGGCTTGGGGAAGAATTGAAATGGAATAGCTGCCCATGATCTGGTTTGAGAGACAAATAAGCAAATAGATTCAAAGTGGGGAAAGCGCCCTCAGAGGAGGTGGTTCTTTAACCTGGCCTTGAAGCAAATGGAAGTCCGCCAGATAGAAGACTGTGTGTATTTATGGCATAGGAAGCAGCATGTGTTCAGGTTAATATGTAAGCTATAACATATAGTGTTTCTCTGGGAGGAGAGCAGCATGGTTTCATTTAGATACATGTGAAGCAAATGATGATAAACTGGATCTGACAGACTATGCTGAGTTTGTTCAATCCAACCCTGAGCTTCATGTTCTGTCTTTTGTCCTTCGGGTAAAGTAGTACCCTCATTAATTACCATATCTTATTCCAGGAGCATGCAGGTTGTCTCTCTGGACAAACAAATCACAATCATAGATAGTCCATGTTTCATTGTGTCTCCATTTAACTCTCCCGCCGCACTTGCTCTGAGAAGTCCAGCAAGTATTGAAGTATTAAGACCAGTGGAAGCTGCCAGTGCCATCCTGTCCCAGGCTGACACTCGACAGGTAGAATCCCTTCCCTTGAGCTCCGTTCTCTCTTCATACACATTTTAAGTAGAAAATCTTGTTTTTTAATAACCATACTATATCAAATGACAATTTGTTTTTCTTTTAAGGTAGTACTGAAATTCACTGTCCCAGACTTTAAGAACTCTTCAGAATTTTTTACTTTGCTTGCTCAGAGAAGAGGACTGCACCAAAAAGGTGGAATCCCAAATGTAGAAGGTGCTGCCAAACTGCTGTGGTCTCAGTGGACAGGGTAAGGCTTCTTTGTAGGCATTTGATGACCACATAGAATAAAGGAACTGGTTTTTGACAAGTCTTGTTTTTAATACCAGTGGCTCTTTAGGCTACTATTGCCATCCTCCTCCATCATGGACTCTTTCTCCACATTTTAATGAAAACATTGTGACAGACATGAAATTGGGTTTGAATCTGGAAGAACTAGAAAAGAACAATGCACACAGCATACAAGGTAAGCAAGGCTTTGTTTTTTGTTTTTTTAAAAATATATTTTATTGATCTTTCACAGAGAGGAAGGGAGTGAGCTAGAGAGCCGGAAACATCGATGAGAGAGAAACATCAATGAGAATCAGTGATCAGCTGCTTCCTGTACGCCCCCTACTGGGGATAAAGCAGCCGTGGGCAAACTACGGCCCGCGGGCCGGCTTCGGCCGTTTGAAATGAATAAAACGAAAAAAAAAAAGACCATACCCTTTTATGTAATGATGGTTACTTTGAATTTATATTAGTTCACACAAACACTCCATCCATGCTTTTGTTCCGGCCCTCCAGTCCAGTTTAAGAACCCATTGTGGCCCTTGAGTCAAAAAGTTTGCCCACCCCTGGGATAAAGCCAGCACCCCGGGCATGTGCCCAACTGGAATTAATAAACCTAGGACCCTTTAGTCCAGCAGTCGCCAACCTTTTGGACTTCATGGACCACCAGTGGCCCATGATCTGCTGATTGGTGACCGCTGCTTTAGTCCACAGGCCGACGCTCTATCCACTGAGCCAAACCGGCTAGGGCAGCAAGGCATGGGTTTGACTGCTCTTTTCATCAGCTGAAAGGCCAATAAAGGTCTCATCTGTTGGTATGTGCTGTGTTCCTTTCCTAGCCATCAGGGGCCCTCATTTAGGCAGTAGCATCCTTTTCCAGTCCTCGGGTCTGACAAATGGAATAACAGAGGAAGAGGACATCGTTGAAGAATTGCCAAAACAGAAAGAAAGGACTCAGGAAGAGAGGGAGGACTTAGAAGACATCAATAATGACCAGGAAAGTGTTGAAGAAGCTGAGGTAAGTATGTTGTTCATGAGTTGTTTAAGCTGAATTAAGTTTTCCAATATTATAATGTACAACAAATGAGAAGGGGCTAAAGATAGAATTAAGTATTACAACAAAGCCCCAATTTAGGTGTTTAAGTCTTCCAGCCATTAGTCTGTTTTGCTGATTCCATTATGTGTATCTTTAGAGAATTTTTCCAGGTACATAATTACATAGGTTAATAAGCAGCACAGGGCTACTAATACAGCATTGCTTCTCTTTGTCCCACAGGGAAATAGCTCAATCATGTCCCCTGCTAAAGAGGCCTGGGCAGGTGAGTTAGGTGGGGGGAGAAGGGATCTTATAACAAATCCATTAGAATTGCTTTTACTTAAAAAAACACGAAAAAAACCCCTTACTTTTCTTTTCTCTAATATAGATGAACAGTCTGCACAATCTTATGCCTTGGATAGGATATCTGAAGAGGAAGATGATGCTTACAACTTCAGTACAGACTATGTATAATGTAACTTTGTCCTCTTAGGGGCTTTTTGTGTTTTTTACAATTTGAACAAACTGTTCTATGTGTATGATGTACCAGTTTGTTTCTGGTATGACAAGCTGTGTAAATTTTGTAAATATGTGTCATAATATAGTCATTTAAAAAAATCAGGCAATGTAGAAAGTGTCTGAATTCCATAAAGACAGTTCATCTCTTGTACACTGAATGGGTAGAATTATTTACCTGGATGCAAAAAGTCCGATACCTACTGAAAAATGTAGGTTTCACTTTATTTATTTATAGATCAGGCCACAGGTTACAAATGTAAAACCAAGCAGCAGTGCTGAACTAGCTGTCCCAGCGGTTATCAGTCCATTCCCTCTGGTTAGTGCTGTAGGAAGCAAACACTTGGTAAGGCCGATGGAGCAACGCGGAGTCTGTCAGGGAAGCAGACAGTGCCGTTTGTCCTCTTGAAGTGTTCCATTTCCCATGGGTTGCCACAATTACTTCCCACACATACTATCTTCCAGGATTTCCTGAGAAATGCTTGTAGCATAAGTTATGTTTCACTTTATGTTTGAGATCTCTGTATGTCTTCTGATAAGGCTGAATTTGCCTGTTGGGTCAGGAATATACCATTTTTCCCAGACATCAGTAAATGAAGCAGTTCTTCCCCATGGCTTAAAGTGCCCATTCCAATGGAGTAATTTGGCAGCTTTTACAAACTGGGGTGAGTATCGTTTTCCAGCACTGGAGCCTTATGTTGAGAGAAAAAGAGCCAAATGATTGTACTGGTCAGACATGACAATGCCACATCAAACTGGAGAAAACTTAAAAGGAAACAATGTATCCCATCCCTGAGGATAGTCCTTTAGATACTTAGTCTTTTATTAGCTTAGGCCTTTTGTTAATTCTTCTACTTACCAAGGTGGCGGACATTCCACATTGGGTCGATGGTGGAGTGCTGTTGATAAAATACGATCAGCAGAGGAGGTGTTGTGATGCTGCCAGCCAGTGTTCTGCTGTACAGTCCCTCTCTTGGGACAGATAAAGATAAGCTGTTAGTGAAGAATCATGACTAATTCCTGTTGAAATACAGCTAGGGTGGTTTCATACTTACTCTACATTGAGTTTCATCCATTTTTCCAGCTGGTTAGTTATATTCTGTCTTTTCCATTCTGTCAGGTTTGCAACAAAAACTCCAGGATTAAATGAGCAGGTGCTGGCTTTCATGGAAAGCTTACGGATTCTTTCCTTTTTATAGTCAAGATATCCAATGTAATTGTACTAAAAACAAATGGGATATATATATAGTGTGTTCACTGCTTCAAACACTAAATACATACAGCCATGCACTGCTTACAGATATACACATGTTCTGAGAAATAACTTGTTGGGCGAAATCATTGTGTGAACATTATAGCATGCACTTATCACAAACCTAGATGAAGTGGCCTACTTCACACCTAGGCTGTGTATATAGCCTAATGCTCCCATGCCTCAAGCCTATACAGCATGTTGTTATACAAAACAATACAAGATTGAATCAAGCACAAGAGAAAATGATGCAGTTGTCCTGGCTGGTGTGGCTCAATTGGTTGGTGTCAACTGGAAATCCAAAAGGTTGCCTGTTTGGTTTTGGGTCAGGGCACATGCTCAGGATTATAGGCTCAATCCCTGATAGGGTTGTGCAGGAGGCAGCCTATCAATGTTCCACTCCTACACTGATGTTTCCTCCCTTCCTCTCTCTAAAATTAAAAATGACACAGTAAACGAGATGTATGAGGCTATTGCAGGTGTAATGGACGTATTTTACAGCAAATCTTTTTATTTTTATAGAGAGGAAGGAAGAGAGAAAGCATAGATTGGCTGCCTCCTGCATACCCCCTACTGGGGATAGAGCCCAAAACCTGGAATCAAACCTGTAACATTTCAGTGCCAGGACAATGCCCAACCAACTGAGCAACACTGGCCAGGGCAGCAGACATTTTTATTAGTAGAACAAGTATAATAACAAGTAGTATAGTAAGTACATAAACCAATAATAAAGTTATTTATTATCAAGTATTCTGTATTGTTCATAATTGTGCTATACTTATAATATGCATGGTAGGTTTGTTTATCAGCATCACCACGAACACATAATACATTGTGCTTTAACATTAAGATAACCATGAGCTCACTAGGCACTAGGAATTTTTCCATTATCTTTTGGGAACACTGCTGGATATATGAAAGTTATGCAGCACATGGCTATAATTTGACAGCCAGTAAAGAGGAAGAGCTGCGTATTTAAAACCTATGATTTCTCAGATTATTACAAAGGACTCTACATATAAAGCAAATAAAAGTGACATTTGGGATTCTAAGGCAGAATAGGAAACTAGAAACAATAAGTCAGTTGTTCAAGGAGAATTAGGTTGTCAAGGCCATGAACCAATCTATAGGAAAACAGGCTTGAGTTTGGGATGGAATAATTAAGGAATATAAAATGCAGCAACAAAAAGAAAAGTTCAAAAAAAAAAAAAAAGAAAAGTTCCCAGAGTTTGCTGCCTCTCCCCATTAACCTGCTTTACAGGGAAGGGAGTGTCTACAAGGGTTCTAATAAGAAATTTACCTGGTTCCCTGCTCCACGAATGACAACTTTCGTAGAGGCTGAATCACAATCTTCTGAAAATGCAGCTGCATGTCCTGGCTTCAGTGGTGTATTGTAGAGCGCAAGGATATCACCTGAAATGGATAAGGTATAAGATTTATATTACTAGTTGTCTCAAGATTCCCTATTCCTCCCACTTCTTCCTAGGACCGTGATGGTGAACCTATGACACGTGTGTCAGAGGTGACACGCGAACTCATTTTTTTGCTTGATTTTTCTTTATTAAATTTCATTTAAATATATAAAATAAATGTCAAAAATATAATTTTTTTTTACTATGGTTGCAAATATAAAGAAATTTCTGTATGTGACAAGGCACCAGAGCTAAGTTAGGGTTTTCCAAAATGCTGACACACCGAGCTCAAAAGGTTCGCCATCACTGTCCTAGGATGACCTTAATAGGATACCATAAATAAGACAACCACTGCAGCCCACACTCTAGACAAGGGGTCCTCAAACTACGGCCCGCGGGCCACATGCAAATACAAATTATTTATTCCCGTTTTGTTTTTTTACTTCAAAATAAGATATGTGCAGTGTGCATAGGAATTTGTTCATAGTTTTTTTTAAACTATAGTCCAGCCCTCCAACGGTCTGAGGGACAGTGAACTGGCTCCCTATTTAGAAAGTTTGAGGACCCCTGCTCTAGACAAAACAGCACTGAGTGACATCCTTTGGTACCTTGAACAATTACATCATCATCCATATATATAGCCTTCTTTGCGCTGGGAACCAGAATAGGCAAGTAGAACCTTGCAAAGGTTAACTGGGGAAGAAAAAGGAGAGGCGTTGACAGGACTCACCAAATGGCTGTGTGCCTATTTCATTTACTAGAATCCCCCAGAATGCTCTCAGTACCCATGCCAAAGGTCACTTAGAATTGCCCAGGCTTGGTCCAAGGAAACTGCTTGCACTGTACCCACAGTTACCCACATATTCAATCATTTCCTAAGAATCTCATATACAAAGATGAATGGAACTCACTGGTTTTATGGATTCCCCCTGGTCAGGTTCCTCCTTTACTTTCCCTTCCAAAAGTTTAGTGTCAAAATTCACAATTTTGTACCTGATGCTTTTCAGAGTACTGCTGCTGAGCCAAGACCTAATGAAAATGAAGTGCCAAAATTTCAGTTTTAAATAATGTCCCCAAACCACAGCCTTTTTGTGCCTTCCAGGGGAAACCCTAGGGACCAAATAGGTGCTTTCAACCCCTTCACTTCTCTGAGCCTCGGTTTCCACATCTGAAGACTATTACCACCAAAGTCCCTCCCTGAGCCAAGATTCTCCCACCAGGCTCACATTTTTTATCACTCTTGAAACTAAACTATTGTAGAAGAACTCCCTATGGAATTGAGAACGTCCGATCACCACATGGATCAAATACATAGGTGAAGAAAATGAGTCAAAGTAGGATGGTAGTAAAAAGTAATTATCAACAAAGCTGGTAATTAGCTAATCTATAGACAGTAATTCACTGTGATGACTACATAATTCTTCCACCCAAGAATTCTGCCTGTGAGAAAAGTACTGCATGCTTCTTCTAGGTCCACTTCAATTCAGCATTTTGTGGACACAGTGTTATCTGTGTAGTCTATTTGTTTCTACGTTATTTTAGATGGTTCTGAGTTTTTTTTGTGTGTTTTTTTTGTTAAATATATTTTATTGATTTTCCACAGAGAAGAAGGGAGAGGGATAGAGAGTTAGAAACATCGATGAGAGAGAACGATCAGCTGCCTCCTGCACACCCCCCAGTGGGGATGTGCCCAGAACCACCCAAACCGGTTCGGCCAGTTCTGAGTTTTTAAAATCGAAAAATAATTTGCACAAAACATGAAACGTGGAGAAAGCCAAAAGGACAGAAATGTTTTAGAACTCTGACAACTATTAACGTGTTAGCCTAGATGTTTCTTGGAATAAATTTTGAAACCTTAATTCAAAGCATTTTCAAAGCATGGATGAGACTGTCCCTCAGATTGGGTTTCTATTATTAATCACTATAATAGTAAATAACCATTTACTGAGCGATTATGTACTAGGTGATTTTTTTCTATATTTTCTCATTTACTTGACACAATAATCCTCTAAGTTGAATATTTTCATCCCATATTTATAGATGAGGGTTCCAAAGGGTTAGGTACTGTCCCCCAATCACTCTGGGCCAGAATTTGTATCAGTGCCTGTGCTCACTTCACACTACCTTGCCATCGCTCCCACATCCCTTCCTACTCTAGACCAGAGATACTCAGAGCGTGTTTCATGAGATGAGAAACTTGTAACAGAACGTAAGTCAGCATATTACTTCCTGCACTGAGAAAATTTATAACTAAAAAAATACCACATTAACAGTGTACATAGTGACTCAGTTGATTTATATCTTAGTAAAAGTTCCTTACATTGTTTCTGCTATCGTGGGGACATGCTTATGATACAATCACTGGGAAAACTTGTCATGTGCAATTTATATGTGATAAAATCTCAATTGTATAGAGAAAATATATACTCATAAAGCATTTTCTAGAAGAATCATCAGGCAAGCAGAGCTCACCGGAGATGGTCTGCTGTATGATTGAGCGTAACAATGTAGAAAATGACATTGGAGCGAGTGTTGTGCTGAATGCTGTTTATGGCTGCAATGGTCCCCCCGAGCCTATCTTCAGATGCAGCAATGACCACAGGCACCTCCTCTTGTCTCCCATCTACAGCATCATGGGGAGCATTTGGGATAAAGTCTATGGGCTGAAGCCCCACAATTCCTGCATCTGCAAAGAACACAAGAAGGTACTGTGATATAAACACAATCTCATGAGGTATGACATAGAGCACTAGACATGAAAAGAGGTGAGGACTGTGATGCTTATTTACCTCATTCTTTCCCATAACAATGTAAACATACAGCCCAGAAAGTGTGTTTTCCTATATAAAACCAGGTTTTTGGAGAAGCAGAAGCAGCATTAAAAAACAAACACTCAGGTCAACCAAATTCTGATACATGACTGATGGAAATAGAACAATCTTTCTAGCAATTTTTGGCAATTTGTACCAAGAGCCTTAAACAGGTACATGGCCTTTGACTCACAGTAATTCCTCTTGCCTCTCAAGGACAAAATCTGAGAGGTAATCAAAAGCCACGATTTTATTTACAATTGTGAAAACCTAGAAACAAAAAGTTTTTCACACTATGGATCATGTCCCATAAGTAGGCATGAAACCAATTTAGAGGGTCATGATCAGAATTTGAGTAAAAAATAGTTCCTGAATTGGAAGAGAACATTGAATGAGAAAATATCAGAGTGGGAAAAAATATACACATCAGAGTGCATCCCACACAGCAACTGCACGTATTGTTTGGTAAACCTTCCTTTTTGCCTTTTATAATAATCCATTCATTTACTCATTCATTGAACACTCAGTGTCTACTATGTGCCAGGCAATATCTAGGCACTGGGGTTATAGCCATGAATAAAACAGACAAATCTCTACCATCATGAAAGGTGGACAGACAATCAGCACACACATGTGTATATATGTAATATATTTCTTATTGTGGGGTTGCCATAAAAAAATCAGTCACTGTAATAAAAGACTTTCCTATGGAAACAAGTAAAGTATGTGGCATTACATTACATATGAGCCCTGGTTGGTCTGGCTCAGTGGATAGAGTGTCAGCCTGTGGACTGAAGGGTCCCGGGTTCAATTCCAGTCAAGGGCTCGTACCTCAGTTGCAGGCTCGATCACTGGCCCTGGTTGGAGTGTGTGCAGGAGGCAACCAATCTCTGTGTCTCTCACATTGATGTTTTTCTCTGTCTCTCATCCTCCCTTCCACTCTATCCTCAAGAGAGAATTAACCAAGATAATTTTAAAAAAACAAAGCTAATGAAGAGTTTCCACTGCCATCGTAACATACTTAGGATATAATCATGTGGAAAAACATGTCATATGTGCAAATTTATATATAGTATAATTTCAACTGTACAGAAAAAATGAGGGGGGGGGTGGAACTGAAAGGTACTAAGTTAAAATTTTAATAATTATCTCTAGGCATTGATCATTTAGTCAATGAATATTTTGCTGAGCACCTCCTAACACACCAGCCCTCACTTAGAGGCACAGGAGATAAAGCAGTAAACAAAATGCCTTCATGGAGCTTGAGTGCTATTTTCTTTTTCATAAAAGTTCCTATGAGAAGCAGGCAATACTTTACGTGCATACAGGGGTGGCAAATGGAGGTTTACAGTTGTTCATATGGAAAGTAATACACTAAGAATAAACTCTGTTTCATGTACTCACAACTGTAACCCTACTTTTGCCCACTATACACACACACACACACACACACACATATAAATAGATACACATGTATATATACACACTATTATAAAACATGCTGTCAGAACACGCAGGAAAGCTATTAGTTTTTTCTTGCTCTGGTCAACTATGGTGTGTGGCAATCCAAAATTGATTTTTAACAAATACTCTGAAGCTTCAAACATGCCTCAATACCAAGGCAGAGCAGTATAAACAACTAATGTTAAGTATCTAGCAATGGAATTATATAATAAAGTGATTATTAAGATCGGCTGATGGCTTTATGGTTTTGTTTTACTACTAGAGTCCTGCTGATACAGTTCACAGGTTATAGGAAAGTAACAGGAGAAGGGAAGTAACCAGACTGACACTCTAGTGCAGCGGTTGCCAACCGGTGGTCCATGAGGTTCGACAGGTTGGCGACGGCTGCTCTAGTGAACACAGCAGGCATGAAACATCTGACACTCACTGGCCCCACCTTCTGAGGCCCTGCTCTGCTGAAATGTGAGCAAATAGAAGCCGCCCACAGAGACTCCTTTTTGGCCTCTGATTTGGTAAAGGATCTTGTCAGATCAAATCCTTAGCAAAGAACCGCACAGAAGGGAGAAGAGGTGGAAAGGGAAGGCTACCAGAGCACAGTGAGTACCACCAGACCTTACCCCAGGGCCTTTAGTTTTTATAAGGCCAAGAAAGGTTTCTTTTCCTTTCACCTCATGATATACTTAGGACATGGGACTCAGGTAACTCCAGCTCAACAGCTGCCAAGGATTCGCATACCTGAAACCTCATTCCTTAGCAAACTGCTCAGGCCAAGGAAGTTATGGTGCAAAACCAGTAAGAAGAAAACAACAGCCAGGACCAGGATGATGATGTTCACTGAAACACAAAGGGAAAGCCTGCATTATCTCTCTTTACCTTGTGATCAGGAATAAAAACATAACTCGTAGAAAGAGCATACCTTTACGGAATGACATCTTCCTCTTCTGTCTTACATAAATATTAGTTATTAATCCTACAAAACAAAAAGAAGCCCAATTCAGCAGGTACAGAAGAAAGGCCATCAAAATGCCTAAATACTTTTATTCAGATAGAAACAAGAATTGCATATCTTCTGCTAGAAACTCAGTTTCCAAGAACCCAATTTGGGATCTGAATTTTTTATGATAGTCATAATAACATACTTCCAAACAATTGGAAAAATAAGGTAACCTTGTACATTATATACCTCTAGATGAAAAACAAAGGAATTCTACCCAGAGGACTAGCTGGGATCTAACCACCCTGGAAAGTATAGTATGAATTTCTACTTGAAATTCCTTGTTAAATTTCACAGGGAGTCCTGGCCAGTGTTGCTAAGTGATTAGAGCATCAGCCCACACACTGAAGGGTCTCGGGTTCGATTCCCATTCAAGGGCCAGGTTTGACCCTTGGCCCCAGTTGGGCATGCAGGAGGCAACCAATCGATGTGTCTCTCTCACCCTTCCTCCCTTCCAATCTCTCTAAAAATCAATGGAAAAAATATCAAGTGAAAATTAACAACAAAAAATTATAGGGGCTCAGTTGTCTATGATCAAGTAGCCTGAGGTCAGCCTCATCAGTACAAAACATCCCTGTTCTGAGTTGTATCTCATTCACCTTTCATTGGAATTAAAGAGGGGAAAAAGAACATTTTTCACATTCATTTAAAACTATTGCAGAAAAAAACAAAAACATAATAAAAATTCATGCCCCAGCTGGTGTGGCTTAGTTGGTTGAGCGTTGTCCCATGCACTGGGAGGTCACCGATTCGATTCCCAGTTAGGGCACATGCCGGGTTTCAGGCTCCATCCCAGTATGATACCTGCAGCCGATCAGTAATTCTCATCATTGATGTTTCTATCACTCTCTCCCTCTCCTTTCCTCTCTGAAACTCCAGCTCCTGGGTGCTGCCACCATAAGCCCAACAATCCCTCGGCTCAGTACTGTGTAGCCCTTCCCTTTAGATATCCCATCCCCTACCCCTTCCTTAAATAGATTCAATTTTTAAAAAAATTTTTTTTTCACAAAATCCAATTTTGATATCAAAAGTTCAGAGAACAAAAAAAATCCCAAAACAATAATAAAAAAAGTTTAGAGTACTATTCTCAAAAATTAAAATCTGCTAAAAGAAAAAAATAGCTTCTTCCCTGCAGCTTATGCTCCCCAGCTCATCTCATGCCTTCACTTAAAAAAAAATAAAAAATAACTCAATGGAAACAAGATAGTAGGTGGTACTAAGTTAAACAATTAGATTTCCACAATAATCTCTGGGTAATGCTTCTTTAAAAAGAGATTTTAGCCCTAGCTGGTTTGCTCAGTGGATAGAGCATTGGCCTGCGGATTCGATTTCGGTCATGGGCACATACCTCGGTTGCAGGCTCCTCCCCAGCGTACAGGAAGCAACCAATGGATGTGTTTACCCTTGGGTGAGGATTAATTAATTAATATTAAAAACAGAATTTAAACAATCAGGATATTGTGATACTACAGTTGAGACTTTTACCCTTTTCTACTTCATCTTTTCCCATGGCAGTACCTAACATTTACAAAAGGCTATTAATTTTACAAGCATTTTATTTTATTTT